CCGCATCATAGTTCATTTCCAATATTTAATAACCATATAAATAATTAATTGCGGGATTGTGATGCATTACGTCGGACTTGACTATACAGTTCGCTCTTTTATGGGGTTCGTGATCAAATAATCTTCAGAATAATGACACTACATTCTCAAATACTTTATTAAAATCAATAATTTAGCATTAGTCTTAATCCAAGTGAAGACTAGTACTGGTAAATTATTTTGAAATGATAATTAAGGCAAGTCAAGTCAAGATATTATATTGCGTTTAAAGTGACGTAAATACAACTTTATCTTCCGACACGTACGGTGCGGTACAACCGTGTAAAACAACATACGGCGCGTAACCATGAATGACGTGTAGCTTAGAGACCCAATCCAATCCAATCCCAATACACAATTATATATATTTTTTTAAATATATTGGCTCATATAATTAACAATTAATAGGCCTAAAGGTGAATCGTGCCAATTAAAAGATATGAAGAGGAAATTACAAAAACAAAAGAAATCACTGTGGGTATCACTCCGAAAAAACAACAATTGTCTGTGTTCGGTAAGCCCTCCATAACATTATGGTCTGACTTGATTATACTTTATCACTGAGAAGTTTGATGCTATCCGTTTTTGGAGGGTACAATTAAATATTTTCTTCATGAAGTACTGTACCGTACACCACACAGGTACGTAAAACATAAGCCTACCCCTTTATATAGGACTAATCTTTAAAATAAAACCTCTTTCTTTATTTAGTAAGGCCACATCCAATTAAACCGGGTTATTGGTATTAAAAATAATAAGTTCATATCATAATGTACATATATACAGTAGACCTTTCCATCGACATCATACATTATTCACACATAGTCCCAGATGATTGCGTAATTTTCGTTTGATATAGATCATTAATGATCGAATGCGCTTGAGAAAAAAAGTCCGTGATTTCGTCCCATCTTAGCGATTGTAGCAGGTTGCGGTGATTGGTATGTCTTATCGTACGACCCCGGTCCCGGTACTCTCTGTGGACACAAAAATAATAGGCCTAATACGACACCACATAACACAATAATACGTCAATGTGTTATAATGCATTATAAATAAACAATTATAGATTTGTAATGGGTAACGTACGCCCATATGCTACGTCAGTACCGTTATAGTAGCCCGGATACTTTATAAATTATGATAATAGGCGCTATATAAATAAATATGAATAGAATAGAATAGAAGAGGCCTATTTCTTATTACGATGAGATCGTTTTTTGTTCTGTTATTGATCTAAAGACCATCTTTATGTTCGCTTTAGGTACAAAATAAGACAATGGATCTTTCCAGGGTGTCAATAAAACTTAATAACTGACCAATCAGAACAGGGCCATGAATACGCGCATGTCCCACAAACAGAGGTGTTGGTATAAAGATCCATCTAGACGCTCTAGTGTGTGAATCAAGAATATACGCGCTATATGACAACCAATCACAGGACGAAGAGCTCGCTTTCAACACGCGCATAAAATAATAAGTGCAAACAAACTACGGTATATTTTATCACGTAAAATCCGCTTATTAAATAAAAATGTTCTTAAAGTCAGTCTTACCGTATGCGAAGTCTTGAATCTGGGTGTTTTTGATTTGAAACTTGATGTGATAACGTGTGGGGTTGAATGAGGCCTGCCCTCGTAGTGACATGGTGCGGGGTTCGTTGTCTGCAGAAAAACGACATTTGAAGTAAAATTAGGCCTACCAGTTCATTGTATGATATTGTTTATCACATATGTATCACACCAAACTTGAATTCCTCCCACGTCCTTACATAAACCTTCTTATTTTACATGCTGTTCAGACAATCAAATTGTATTTGATAGAAACATGTGACATGTCTAAATATGGTCAGAATGGCATCCCAGCATGACGATATATAAACACATCATGACTATATATGGGCATAAAACAACAATAATAATGATAATGTATATATAGGCTTATATGAGTATAGTAATATTTGAATCGAATAACCTGTATAATGATACTG